TATAATGTTCACTCATGTACTAACAGTGTATAATGTTCACTCATGTACTAACAGTGTATAATGTTCAGTCATGTATTAACAGTGTATAATGTTCAGGACAAGAGAATATATTTAATACACAATGAAAAGACTGTGTAAACAGAAAACACTACAGTAGTTTTGTTTCTTTGTTTCTTTCTTTTTTGTATTGTGACTACCAAACTGCAGTTTAGTTTAGTATTACCTTCTTCTCCCCTCCCCAGTGGCTCAACGGTAATTCTGCGAGCTCATGCCGCTAAAAAACCGTGTGGGCACAGCACAAATAGCCCATTGTGTTGCTTTGTGCTGTATAACAAAGAAGCTTGAAACATTACCTCCAAGAAAATAGTTTTGCCGACAGTTTTACACACTACTAAGGTAAATATGAATGTATGTCTGTTTCAAGTTATTGTGTTTGGTTGGTTTTGTTTCCAGAAGTTTTCATTTAGAGTATTCCAGGTCAATTTCATAAAAAGTGATATTTGAGACTTTTTTGTTAATTCGTAGTTTTTATTTATTTAAATATTTACTTATTAAGACGTTTACTTTATTTTACAAACATTTTCAGATGCATTTTACTTCGTATCAATTGCGTTATCTAATTTCGTAGATATCATTTGAAATTAGATAGTTTTTTGGTAAAATTTCTAAACAAATGTGGCGATATTCCATTAAGAAGCATTATACATTATTTTTATGGCTAGCTATTCCATGCATTTAACATCTTAAAACAAGCTGCTCAGATTTCACTGTTCATCTTTCATGCACTCTGTTGTTTTGGAAACTACAATGTGCAGATCTTCATAAAGTTTATTGTTTCGTGAAGATTGTTTATGACCAACGAAAAAACATGTTGTTGGTAGTTCATGGCTTATTACTGAAGATCGTCATGCCAATACTAAATATGTTTTTGTATGCAAACTATATAATTAGTTTTACTAATGGATTTTAAAAGCCAAGGATCAGTCTTCATCAGAATACCATAATGACAATTCGTGTACTAACACAGAATAATTCAGAATGACATTTTGGTATAACAACAGTCGACAGTACAGTTTTTAAGGATTTATCCTTTTTTTACCAGAGATTTACGTTCAGTTTTATCAACACAATCACCACCATTTCTTGGGCTACTATTCTCACATTGAGCAATAGGTTTAGACCATCACTATCCTAACGCACCCATTTCCCCAAAGTGTGTAGCGCGATATCTATATAAATTTTACCTTCGCTCTGGCCTATCACTTCAAAGTTAACAGATATCCTTCGTGTAGCTTTGCACGAGATTCGGTAAACAGCCAAAGCTTTTTAAATTTCAAGATTTTTTTTATTAATAATGAAATTATCACATTTTCGATTATATGTAATAATTGATGTGTTAAATGTAATTTTTTTTTAATTTTTGCACATAAATGTCGAAAGTTTCAGGGAGATTTTTGGTTTTAATTTCCGACCACAAATAAATATTCATGAAATTTAATGTTTAATTATTTTGCAAATTCATTGTAAGCTGCGTAAATTTCTTTCTTAGTATAAATTGTCGAAACTATAATTTAGAGTAATGACAGCATATTTAATGAAGGTTTTTTATTCTTTTTCAGAACTTTATGTATTTGAATATTGATGTATTTTACAATTTAATGAAGTATAACCAAATTTCATGCTTGCTTTTTTAGGATCTTATGTTTTTAAAATGAGAGGCAATTTATCTTTTCTCATTAGTGTTTCGTTTCATTACAGATATGACCAAACATTTGTGTGTTCTATGAGGAATAATTAATGGTAATTTAGCAATACACATATATATATACTAAAATTATGGCAACGAAGCTATAAGATGCGCCACATCAATTTACATAATTAGACCTTCAACTTAATTTTTGTTACATGGTATAAATTGTAAATAATTTTTGAAAACCATCATTTAAACTTAATATTTCTGATTAAAAGTTTAAAGGGAGTGCCTAAGAAAGATTTCAAAATGCAAGTAACTTTTACTATTCAGTTTTCACAAAATAATTCTTAGAACAACCAATAGAAAAGCACTCAGGTACAAATCCCACAGGTTCTGTTGTTTCTCATTGGTTGAAATTGCATGTTTCCTTTTACTAGGTATCTGAAATGTTTAAAACCACAGGTGATTTATTTGCAGCTTATCGTAATTTCAGAGTCGTGACTATTATGGCACTGTCAAAGCATGATAAGGTCCAGTTAATCCTGCTGTTAGTCCAAACTTCTTTTGATTATAAGAGCAAAAGGTGGAACACATTCTGCAAAATTCGTTGAAGTGCCAATGGTTCCAGAATTTTCGGATACCCTCTATTAGCCTCAACGTTAGTTCATTAGTCTGAAGGTTTCGAGCAGGGTACATTTAAAGTGAAACATGAATAATTTGACTTTTTTATCCAGCCAATACATTTTGCTTATAATACTAGTTGTAATATTTGGTAATAACTGGAGCAGCGTATTTATGCTCTTATGGACGATATCCAGAAGAAGTATGTTTATGTAGAAAAAAAAAAAACTCTTCAAACCTCAACGAGACAACCAATATTTATATCTTATTTCTATAAAGATGTTTTTGTAATGGACTTGTATTGATTTTAATGATACCTAATTTCTATAAAGATGTTTGTGTAATGGACTTGTATTGATTTTTATAATACCTAGTTTCTATAAAGATGTTTGTTTAATGGATTAGTATTGATTTTCATAATATCTAGTTTCTATAAAGATGTTTGTGTAATGGACTTTTAATGATTTTTATGAAATCTAGTCTCCATAAAGATGTTTTTGTAATGGATTTGTATTGATTTTTATAATACCTAGTTTCAACAGAAATGTTTGTGTAATGGATTTGTATTGATTTTTATAAAATCTATTTTCCCTAAAGATGTTTGTGTAATGGACTTGTATTGATTTGTATGATATCTAGTTTTTATAAGGATGTCTGTGTAATGGTCTTGTATTGATTTTTATGATACCTAATTTTTACAAAGATGTTTGTGTAATGGACTTGTGTTGATGTTTATAATACCTAGTTTCTATAGAAATGTTTGTGTAATGGATTTGTATTGATTTTTATAAAATCT